ATCTCCGAGCCCTATGTAGCCCTTATGCTCGGACTGGATGACGCCCTTGATTCGATCGCATTCTGAACGTCTGTTGGGCGCCGGGAAAGCAGGCGACGGCAAGGGGGCTTCCTTGCCCGTGTCGGCTCTGGACGGGGATCCCGGATACGCGTCACACGACGAGCCGAGTAGCTCTCGAGCTCTGCGCACTGCTTCCTCTGCCACATCTCCGAGCCCTATGTAGCCCTTATGCTCGGACTGGATGACGCTCTTGATTCGGTCGCATTCTGAAAGCTTTTTGGGCGCTGCTTTGGGCGTAGATGAAGGCTGATTCGCCGCCGAAGCTTTGCCTTGCTCATCTGTTGTCGGTGGGTTAGATTCCTTGGCGTCGACATTTTTGTTGGCCGCGATGTGGGCGCCGTGGAGTGGTATTCGTAGCAGGCTTTCTACGAGTTGAGGCGGGACAGCAGCCGAGGCTTTCTGGCTTAGATCAATCACTTGTTCCGCAATGCAGACAACCACAAGCTGAGCGAAGCTTTTGACGGTAGCTAGTGCGTTTCTGACGCGTCGCATTGCTCGTTGTCGTTTGCCACCTTTTGGTGGGCTCCTGGTCTGCTCACGGGGGGTCTCGCAGGTCTCGTATGCCGTGTTGGTCTCGGTCATGTCTCTTCGAAATCTGTGCCGAATTGCACGTAATACACATTTTCGTTGTCGGCATAGGCATTATTGTCGGCTTTTTACCGATTTGCGAGAAAGCTGTACGGGACGGCTGTGCCGGCTTGCAGAGCACGGGCCGCAGTCCCGCCCCCATATTCCTCCGGCCGTCACGCCCATACTTGTCGGTCTTGGCTACAAGTTGCGTCCTGAAGAAGATTTCCTCATTTTATTGTGTCACCGGCGCATCCCTCCTCACATCCCCCTACGCCTCTCCGGTCACCCCCTACGCCTCTCCGGTCACCCCCTACGCCTCTCCGGTCACCCCCTACGCCTCTCCGGTCACCCCCTACGCCTCTTGACCTTACTTAGGGTGTGAATCTTGGGGTGTAAACCTTGGGGAGAGGTGCGCACCTTGATTTAATGGCGGACCTGGGAAACGTATCTATATCGAGGCGAACTCTGCGCTTGGGGGAGCCAAGGCTGGCAGAGCGGAAAGGCTTTTCGGCGTGGGCTGGCTCAAAGCGGAGTGGTGGGGACGTTGGGAAGGGGAAGGCAAACGAGCAGGGGAGATTGGATGGGCTAAAGTTGCCGGCCCCCCGAATTAGTAGGCGGAAGCTGATTGCAGTGGACGGCGGGGGAGTGGTGGATGTCCCGGCTCCAAAGGAATCACGGCGGAGCATCGTTGGCACGAAATACGAAGCGATAGAAGCGGCCTTGCCGGCATCATTGCGCACCAAGGTTGTCGAAGAGAGGCGGAGGGATGCACGACGCGCATGGACGCCCCCAATTGAGATACTTTCGCCCAAGGAGTGCGAGCGTTCAGAAGACCCCTTTTGTAATGACGACCGGTTCTATAATCGACAACTCGAGCACAGCCCTTTCACAGACGACCTGGCGAGGTATGACGAACTCGATATCCCCCAATGGAAGAACATTGACCAAGAGCCGCTTACCGTCAGGACCAAAGAAGATCAGGAGCTATTCGAGTTTTATCAAGACGGTGTGCGACTGGGACAGTGTCGAGCCGCAATCAATGGCACCGCGGTGGCTGCCGATTCGGCAACCAACGGCCCTACAACTGACACACTTCCGGAAGAGTTTGGAGACAGCGGCACAAGCAAAGGAGAATTACAGAGATGGAACTACAAACTAATGAGATATGAGTTGCTACCTCGACTTTGGCGAAGAGCTGTGAATTTGAGCCAAAAGTTGCACCTGGACCCTGAGGAAAAAGTGATCACTTCTCCGTTTGCGTGGGGGTCGGACCCGGCGGAACCCTGGGTTCAGACAGGCGAAACGCCGTCCGTTGTTCCTGAGAATCTCATTGTTCCAGAATACCACCTCTTTCGAGAACCAAGAATAACAACAGCTGGCGAAACAAAAACAGCTGGCGAAACAAAAACAGCTGGCGAAACAACAGGCGCTGTTGTGGGTCAGACATCTGATCAGGCATCTGATCAGGCGGTTGACCAAGGAGGTGAAGACCCCACGAGGCGATTAGGTATTATGTTGGAAAGAGGGTCGGTGGAGGCTGCCTTTTACGAGGTCATTGAGGGGAGTAGGGCTTGGAGGAAGGAAAAGAGACGGTTGATAGCGATTCCGCCTAACGAGTCGTACGGGGGCTTGATAACCAGTCCAGCGGCTCACCAGAGATTGATTAACCATCAGCGCCGCAACGAACGACGACAGGCGCGAGTTGAGGACGACAGCAGCACCGAAGAAGGAAGCGTCAGTTCCAAGCATTCTGACTCGACAGCATCATTCGGAAGCCACAGGGCAGGAGATGAGGACGCGCAAGAGCACCGAGCGGACTGGGACCCCGTCCGACTGAAAGCCAAGAAGAGACGGCACGCCGTCATCATGAAATGGCTTCACAGAACTCACAACCAAGCAGACGCTCCGCCCATATGGCCCGTGGAACACGGCGTATCGTACAACCAACTGCCCTTCCCCGTCGGCACCGACTACGGGAACGTTGCAAATGAACTGGCAGATGGAGCCACCTACACTAGATCTCTATATGACGTAAGCACCGCAGGTAGGATACACCAGAAAAGACCCGCTCAGCACGGGGGAGACTTCTCGTTGTTGGGGGGAGACTTCTCGTTGTTGGGGGGAGACTTCTCGTTGTTGGGGGGAGACTTCTCGTTGTTGGGGGGAGACTTCTCGTTGTTGGGGGTAGGACTTAAGGAGAGTGGGTAGAAGTAGTTCGCCTTTAACGCTCGCTCGCTTTGTAGAATCTGGTTATCTATATGTCGATATTGGAGAAGGTGCTGGTTGAGAGCTCCAAGACGGATGTGAACCAGCAGGAAACAATCGATGCGTCCAGTAGCATATCGATAGTGGAACAATGCCTTGGGGCGGCGTACAAGAACACTCAGGAGTATGTACAAGTGCGTAATTCTGTGACCAAGAACTTTATGACCCAGGGCAATCTGGACGCCAGTATTTTGTACACGAGGCCGTTTGCATGCTTGTCGACGAACGAGCGCAAAGAATGGACGCAATGTCTAGATCTAGGTCGCAGCCTCAAGGTGTCCAGTGGCGCCAACATTACTACTGACGACGTGATGGAGTATATGTATCCTTCCGATGACCGTCTGGCGGACATCCTTGAAAAGTATCTCGAGGGAGAAAAAACACTGGACGCATCCTTCATAGAAGACGCGAACACGGGAGTTGTCGCCGGCGGCTATAAGATTCGATGACGACTTCCCCCCCTGG